AATGATGAAGCACAATTATAAAAAATAATAAATCCATTCATCATTTCTGAAGAGAAAAAAGTAATTCGAAACAAATAGAACAATACAATAAAACGGTAGCCGATAAAAAAAGATGTTTTATTCATAAATCTAAAAAACACATTAATTAAAATAAAAACTGTAATCTGGGAAAAATATTTTGGAAAGTTTATCTTTGAAATGACTTCAAGGCATTAAATTAAATCCCACGATTACCTAAAAGTAAAAAAATAAAAAAAGTTTAAGGCAATTAATATTTGTACCTGAATTCAGCTTTTGCATTCACGATAAAGAACAAAAACCCAGAAGAAAAAAAAAAGAATTCACAGAAAAAAAAAAGGAATTCTTGGTTCATTAATGCCCGAACAGCAGATCAGTGTATATACCTCTGAAAATTCTGCCTAAAAAAACCAAAACCAAAAAGTGCTCACGTGAAAAATTCATCGTTTGGAAGTCAAGATATCTGTATTGATTTCCTTTAAGTTATTCTGTTCTGCAAGTTTTTGTTCTTACTTTTTTGCCGACCGCAAAAAAGCAGGAACTTTTCGGCTGAATCAAGGGAGTGTTTTTCTCCATTGCTCATTCGATTCTTCTTGATATGCCTCCCAGAAAAATACTTTTCGAGAAAAGAGGAACTCTTATTCATCGATTTTCAGTGACATCTGGAACTTTTCTTGCGTGTGTTTTGGAGGCATTGTCTCCCCTTTTTTTCAGCCGAGATAGAAGCACGGGGAAAAATGTATTTCTGTCGAAATAGTGAGATGAATTAAGTGTGAAATATTAGTTAGCTGACTGTAGGGAGATTTAGAGGAGGTTTAGAAATTGTCTCTATAAGGTTTATTGTTTTCTACATTTTGATTTCATTGGATTGATCGTTTTTTTTTTTTCATGTTGTTTTTATTTTATTGTGAGATCAGTTTTTAAGGTTTTTATCATAAGAAGAATTAATATGCAGTTTTTTTACACTCACTCACTCACTCCCTTCCTACCTTTCCTTTCCTTCCTTTACTTCTGGAAGGAATTCCGTCCGTCCTTCCTTCTTGTCAGTCCGTCCTTCTTTCCTTCCGTCCGTCCTTCCGTCTGTTTGTCCGCCCTTCCATCCGTCTGTCCTCCCTTCCTTTCTTCTTAAATGCCTTCTTTCCGTCTGACCGTACTTCCTTCCGTTTGTCCATCCAACCTTCCTTCCTTCCGTCCTTTCTACTGTCCTTCCTTCCATCCGTCCGTCCTTCCTTCCTTCCTTCCTTCCTTCTGCCCGTCCGTCCTTCCTTCCTTCTGTCCGTCCTTCCTTCCTTCCTTCCTTCTGCCCGTTCGTCCTTCCTTCCTTCTGTCCGTCAGACCTTCCTTTCTTTTTTCCGTTCGTCAATCCTTCCTTCCTGAATTAACGAAATTATAATGATTATTGAAATAATTTTTGGTCACATAAATTTTAAAATCAACATTCGAATTTAAAGCCTTACTTTTCTTATAATGAAAACTTGAAAATTCATAATTGAAAATAAAATATCCTCTTTATTTTCTTTTTCAATATATTATAAATAATTCCGAAATTTGTTGTGGCAGAATATTTCCCATTTGGACTAGCTTTCAGATCAGACAATTTTCCAAATGCAAATGCTTCTCAATTCCAACCAAACCCTCAGTTCGATATCTAACTCAGAATCTTATGGTATATCAGCCGTTTTTCATATCAATGTGATAACCGCATATAAATGAGTTAATATCCTCAGCCTAAACCCTGAACATTTCAATTGAGACTTACAAAGCTAGCTGATGCCACGCGAAACCTTAACCTGGCATGCAAAGAAATTTCTAATTTATATGCCGATCTCGGATGTCATTTAAATTATTTTCTCCTGAGAGTGGAACCGAACTATTCAAATCCATCTCATAAAATTGCTTTAAATATATATCAAGAAATATTTGCAATAAATATCGAGCGCTGGCATGACTAATTTGGAATGTCGAATTTGTTAATATTGCAAACATATATCGGATTTTATGACTATGAACAAAAAATGCTAGGTAAAAATTATATCACTAATTCTTTCATAAAATGAAAGATCAGCTTTTCAATAGTGGGGTTTTTGCAATACTCGAACATTAAAAAGCACCTTAGAAATCTTTGACTGAAATTAAGTCTTTTAGCAATGACAGAATATGTTGACAATATAAATTTCAATACCCTAAAAGTACAGGGAGAAAAAAAAAAAACCGCGCTGTCGATATGCGAGTTTCTAGCTATCCTACCATTCATAGAAACTGAATGAAATTTTTTTTTAAGGTATTTTCAGATATGCGCCAAAGAATTATATGAAAAACAACAATTAAACTCTAACATTTAAAGTTACAGCGGCACTATTTCGAAAATTTCAAATAACAAAGCCTACTTTTTTCTATTCCCTCTATTAGCTCACACTCTCCCTCTATATAGTATATCTTGTTCAAATTTTGAATCGTTCATAAAATACTTTTCATTCATCCACTCAAGTTCAGATACATTTTTTTGAAACATGTAGCGGATGACACTGAATGTTAATGCAGTTATTTCAAATATTAATTCATTAATTAAATTTAATAATTAATTTTGGTTTTTTTTAAAATTTAAGTTGCATGTATCTACCAATAGATGGCGCCAGATGTATGAGAATAATTTCAACTTTATTTATAAAAGGTTTTCTGCAATATAGAGAAAAAAAATTAGGAACTGACTTTAAAATTTTTTTTTTTATATTACTTGTTTTTATTGTAATGTAATCTCTGTACTGAATAAAGATAAATTTCGTTAAAAACATAAATTTCGTGTTTCATTAGTTTCGTTTCTGTAACACGAAAATTGGACGGACTACTACTACACTCCAAATTCCTAAACACTGTAAAGCAATTTTATGTTTAGAGAGTAATTTTTGTAAAAGGAAAAAATTAAATGATATACCCTGAAATGAAATTACAATTAAAATTAAAATACAAAACTATTTGCCATTAGGATCTAAGAAAATAAGAAAGAATGTAATGTAAATGAACCAACTAAAATCAAATATTTGTAAACAAGTTCTAATCTTTATTAAAAAAAAAAGTCAAGTTTTCAAGTTTTCTAAAATTGAAAACACACAAAAAGAACTAAACACAGAAATATGAAGTTTAAATTAAAAATGTTTTTATTTTGAGTTAGAATGTAAACAAACGAGATTTATCTCTGAGAAAACTTTTATTTTTTATCTCAAAACTGAGAAGGGAGAACACATAAATAACCGTTTAAATGTATTCAACTCATTAAATTTCTTTCAAAGGCTTGGCTGGTCTCCAAATACATTTTTCTACCCAACAACTGGATGGGAGAACTCTTTGTTCGGAACTTCATTACGAGCGGCAAGTCTTTCCGCAGACGATTTTTTAAAACCAGTTACTTCATGGATGGAAGATAGTATGAGACGGAAAAATGAATTCTTTAAAGAATAAATTGAAAAGGTCAGAAATATTCTTGTTTTACGGTAAACAGGAAATTTATTCAAAACTTTTAAATTCACGGATGCTTCAGGGCTTCAGGGCTAGAATTCTCCCAACCTCTAAGTTTCACCACTTTTCTATTTCTTTTTCTTGGCAGTCAAAGAGGGCTAGATGGGATTTTTCCGAATAAGTTTCTCCCTTTTTATTATTTTATTTTACTTTTGATGCTTTCTAAGCAAATGGAAATTAGTCAGAAGTTTTTCAGATGCACTTATGCATAGAAATTATTCCGAAAAGAAACTTGAATATAAAATAGCTTTCTTGAGGAAAACGCAATTAAACCTTTCTATCGCTTTCGAAGAAGAAGTTCTTGATTTGAAAAGAGATTTCCTTTTTTTATACTGCTTTACTTAAAAATATTTTTAAATGGTATATTGCAAAATGCACTTTGTTCTTTGGAAAACATTTTTTTCTGAAGAATTCATCAAAAACTATTGATATAGTTTTATATTTATAAATATTTTTTTAAACGATTATAAAATAAAATGTAAAAATGACACAAAATCAATTACCATTGCTTTGTTGCATATAAAAAAAACTTTATTTTTCAAACGTCGCCTTTTATGTTAATTTAAAACCTACACTTGTGCTTTTGTTTCCTTTAATTAAAAAGTAATTAAATTTCCCGAATAAATGCTTACTAATTTATCCTTAATTTTTTGTATTATCTAATATATAGAGGTAATTAATTTCATAAAATAAAGTCAAATTAAAAAAATTATTTTGATTTTTATTTAAACATGACTTTGTCATAATATTTACAAATATTTTTTTATAATTTTTGAATTTTTCTTAATTTTGCTTAATTGCACAAATTAAATGTCTACAAAAACACAAAAACGTTAACTTTTACTGAAATAGCATGAGTCACAGGTATTTCAAACAAATAAAAAAAATTTGCTTATGAAAAATGAAATAAACTATCTGTATTTTGTAACAATAAATAAAAATTTTATCATCACTTAGCACATTACATTATTTCTCATAAATCTTCTTAGCATTATTTGAAAAGTTCATAAATTACTTATAAATTTTGTTAAATGTATTCATATTATTATATATAACATTTATTTTATTCTTTTTCATTAATTCTAAAAATATTTGTATTTGTAGTCTTTTCTGAGGAGTTTTTTAAAAAAATAATATTATTAATTCATATTAAATACAAAATTAATTCTTTATCTTTTAACAACCGTAAATTATTCGAAACATTTTCAATGGGTGACAAATCTAATGATCGGGTAGGCCAAGGAAGTGTTTCAATATTGAATAGGAATTACGACAGGCTAAAAACACAAAATTATTGAGATTATTATTAAAAAAAATTTGTTCAGAGTTCGCTTTCAGTCTTTTTTCTACTAGATATCATTTAATTTAACAATTAAATTAATCTTTTTTAATAAAATCTCAATGATTTTCCTAAACAAATAATTTAAAAGGAACTTCTCCTTTATTCATTTATATACTTACAGATGGCCAACGGCCGTACCATGCTGAATATACCGGTTCTCGTTAGATCACCGAAGTTAAGCATCATTGGGCGCCGTCAGTACTTGGGGGTGGGTGACCACCTGGGAACACCGCGTGCCGTTGGCATTCACAAATGTGGGATCTGAATGGCCGAGTGTCTAGCGCTCTGGTGCTCGGTGCCACAGGTTTCGGGTTCGAGTCCCGGCGGTGCCATGGATGTTTGTAGTGGTTCGGAATCCACTTTAAGCCGTAGGTCCCGGTCTCCTATGACTGTAAGAGCGTCACGGAGCCAAAGTCAGACTTCTACCTACGGGGTGCTCCATCACAACAGAAGCTGCTTCCTTCCCCTTAAATCATGAGTACGTATGAGCTCGTGGGCTTGGCCAGCCAAGTGGGATAAGAAACAACAACAAACAATATACTTACATTGTAGGCAGGTATTTGAATAACAGACGTAGATATTCCTCATCGGGGTTATTGCGGCAGCAACATCAAAAAGTGTTAAACTTTCAAGAATTGTATCTTCGTTTTTTGCTTAGCATTATCAAGTAATTAATTCATCCACGAAACTTTTCTGAGTTAAAACTAAAAACTGAAAAAAAATATTTTATATTTGTTTCGCTTTATGATAATTTTCTGTTAAGATTTTTTTTTTCTTTTTCAAAAAAAAAATTAATAATAATAATAATCTTAACTAAAATAAAAATTATTACAAAAAAAAATGTTTGTAAATTAATTGGAGTATAGGTATTCGTTGTAGTATAACTAATAATGTTTAAAAGGTCCTTTTTATTCATTATTGACATAAATTATATAGAAAATGAACTAAAATTACTAACATTGCGAAACATTACAGACAAAAAGACGCATAAAGGTTTTTTTTTCAATTATGCTGCTATAGATCATAATTTATTTAATAAAATTTTGATATTAGTACCAAATCATTTTATCAATACGTAAGTTACAATACTATACAAGTTAAATAATCGAAAGAATATACAAGAAATCTAAAGTTTATAATATTAGTACCAAATCATTTTATCAATACGAAAAGATTTTGAGACTGAAATAACGAAATAATGATGATTATTGAAAAAATTTTTGTCAGAAAAATTTTAAAATCAACATTCGAATTTAAATTCTTAAAAGAAAAATGAAAACCGTACTTTTCTTATAAGGAAAACTGGCAATGCAATACTCAAAACAAAATTTACTTTTATTTTTTTACTTCAAGATATTATAAATAATTTTGTAATTTGTTGAGGCAGAGTATTTCCCATTTAGAACTAGCTTTCAGATAAGTCAATTTTCCAAATGCAAATGCTACTCAATTCAACCTAGACGTTCCATTCGATATCTAACTCCGAATCTTACAGAAAATCAGCCATTTTTAATACCAATGAGGTAGCCGCATATAAATGAGTTCATATCCTCAGCAAACCCCTAAACAGTTCATGTGAGATCTACAGAGTTTTCAGATGCCACAGAAACCCCTAACCGGGCATTCAAAGAAATTTCTAATTTATATGCCTATCATGTAAATAATTTGATCTAGACAGTGGAACCGAATGATTCAAATCCGTCCCATAAAATTGCTCTAGATATATATTTCAAAAAATATTTGCAATAAATATCGAGCGCTGATTTGAATAAGTTGGAATTTTTTAACTATTTATTGCATGAATTTCTAATTTTTATGTGGAATTATTGTTCAAATTAGTCACATGTCTGTTTTATAAATACTGGAAACATATACCTGATTTTATATCTGTAAAAAAAAAGTACTAGCTGTAAATTATGTCACTAATTCCTTCGTAAAATTAAAGATCAGCTTTTCAATACTGGGGCTGCTGCAATTCTCGCATTTTAGAAAGCATTTTAGAAACCTTTCATTAAAATTAAGTCTTTTAGCAAAGACAGAATATCTTGACAACATAGATTTCAATACTCTGAAAGTACAGGGTGATTATGAAAAAAAAATTGCATTTTGTTTTAAGGTATTTTGAGATAAGCGCCCAAGAATCATATAAAAAACAACAATTAAACTATAACATTTATCGTTACAGCGGCACTATTTCGAAAATTTAAAATAGCAAAGCCTACCTCCTATTGTAACTAAAATTATTTTAAATAGCAGATGGAAAAACCGTTTGACATCGTTTCCTCAGCCGTATAGCAGGCTGAGTAAATGTTTTCCTGCTTTTCCTTAATTGTAACATAAAAACAAATCGGTTTATCTAAGATGTACCTTTAAAAACATCCGTCTCCTTTTTTAGGTGTAGTGTAGCAGGCTGCCCTTATTTTACCCTGGAAAGAGTTGGAACTGCTTGAACTCTTTCCTATCAGTAATAAATAACTTCAAAACGTTGGCATTTTAAGAAATTATTACTTAGAAAAAATATATTTTCTTAAACACAGTTCTCTTTTCAACTCTTTCTACCTTTTCAATAAATTTGCCATACGAAAGATTATACTAATGCGATAAATATGCATACTGTTTTCCACATTTTTTTTACAATTTCTTTTACGTTTTCTTTGTAAAGCTCTGCTCTTTTTTTTTCTACAATTTTATCGTTTTTCGAAGGCAATTTACTGGAAGGAATAAAGGCAGTTTAACACTTTGCTGCCAGCTTTTGCATTGTCTCACAAAATGGTATGTTTCAGTAAAATCTCTTGTCTACTGAAACCTTTTGCTTTGTCAACAGGACGCGAGAAGGTAAAAAAAGGAATTTCTTAAAAAAATAAATGAATAAAAATAGAATTAAATTCAGTGCATTCAGCAGTTAAAGTTTCCTTCGATCTTCGGAACACAAAGTTTCCTAAAATAAAATTAGATGCTATGGGCTTTTGTTTCCTCGTTTGTCTACGTTAACCGTAACGTATTTGTGACATGGGAGCTTCTTTGCTCTCGATAGAAGTTGTGTTTTATACTTGTTTGAAAGCATATTTAACCCCCAAGGTTTATCCTAGCCCTTTCACAAAGAAGATGAACCCACTCAAACTCACACTAGTTAGCAAATAAAATGTCGAGTCCTAAATGCTCCTCTCAGTTAATGAAAAACGAGTTGACTCTATGAGGATTGTCCAAGATACCTCGTATCGAGAGTTGGACTGTTCGGTTGGAGTTTTTAGCGTTCACCGCAACATGACACAAACGTGGGACAAATATTCCTATGGTCTTCCTATCAAATAATAATACCGCATTGCTATTAACTATTAAAAGAATGATAAAAGTTTAAAAGGACCACACACACATATATATATATATATATATATATATATATGACCCCGTTAAACTTTTTGTGTGTGTGTGTGTTTATAATAACTAAAGTACACGACTAAAGTAAAAATTCCTAAAATAGAAAAAAAAAATATTTTTGTATCTTTTTGTTGAGCTTGTAGATTTATTGAAAAATAAGTATTCGTTTAAACAAAAAAGTTTGAGAAATAATTTTTATTCTCGAACTAAACCCATTAAAATGGTAAACATATAGACAAAAAGACGTATAAATGGTTTCTTCTTTTTTTCTATAAGTGAAGTACTAATAGTTTCCAAGTTTATATATATATATATACACAGATATATATATACACTGAAGTGACAAAAGTCATGGGATAGCAATATGCAAATTTTTAGATGGCAGTAGCATCGCGTAGAACAGGTATAAATGCGCAGTGCTTTCGCAGAGCTTTCATTTCTGTTCAAGTTATGCATGTGAAGAGGTTTTGACGTGATGATGACCGCACGACGGGAATTAACAGACTTTGAACGCGGAATGTTAGTTGGAGCTAGACGCATGGGTCATGCCATTTCGGAAATCGTTAGGGAATTCAACATTCCCAGCTCCACTATGTCAAGAGTGTGCGGAGAGTATGAAATTTCAGGCATAACATCCCACCATGGACAGCGCAGTGGTCGACCGCCTGCACTTAACGACCGAGACCCGCGACGTCTGCAAAGAGTCGTAAATTCTAACAGACAAGCAACACTGCGTCAAATAACCGCAGAAATCAATGTGGGACGTACAAGGGACATGTCTGTTAGAACTGTGCGGAGAAATTTGGCTTTCTTGGGCTATTCAAGCAGAAGACCGACTCGAGTGCCTTTACTGACAGAACGACATCGCTTGCAGCGACTCTCCTGGGCACGTGAGCATATCGGCTGGTCCCTAGATGAATGGAAAACCGTGGCCTGGTCCGATGAGTCACGATTTCAGTTGGTAAGAGCTGATGGTAGGGTTCGAGTGTGGCGCAGACCCCACGAAGCCATGGACCCAAACTGTCAGCAAAGCACTGTTCAAGCTGGTGGTGGCTCCGTAATGGTGTGGGCTGTTTTTTCATGGCATGGACTTGGTCCTCTGGTGCGACTGGACCGATCATGTACTGGAAATGCTTATGTTCAGCTACTTGGAGATTACTTGCAGCCATTCATGGACTTCATGTACCCAAACAACGATGGGATTTTTATGGATGACAATGCGCCATGTCACCGGGCCACAACTGTTCGCGATTGGTTTGAAGAACATTCTGGACAATTCCAACGAATGATCTGGCCACCTAGATCGCCTGACATGAATCCCATCGAGCATTTATGGGACATCATCGAGAGGTCTGTTCGTGCCCAAAATCCTGCACCATCAACGCTTTCACAATTATGGACGTCTATCGAGACAGCATGGCTCAATATTCCTACAGAAGACTTCCAACGACTTGTTGAGTCCATGCCACGTCGAGTTGCTGCACTTCGTCGGGCGAAAGGAGGGCCGACACGATATTAAGAGGTATCCCATGACTTTTGTCACTTCAGTGTATATCTGTGTGTGTGTGAAATCCTTGTTGGTTGGTATAAAGTCGAAATTTATGTAATAAAAATGTAAAGGCTTAATAATATCAGTGCCAAATAATTTTATCAATATGACAAGATTTAAATAACGGAATTATAACTATTATCGAAATAAATTTTAGTCAGATAAATTTAAAAAGCAACATTCGAATTTAAATTCTTAAAAAAGAGAGCCGTACTTTTCGTATAATGAAAACCGAAAATGCATTATTGAAAACAAAAAAATTTTTCCAAGATATTATAAATAACTCTGAAATTTGTTAGAGCAGAGTATTTCCT